ATAGACAAAGCAATTGAAAAAGAATTGATTAATCGATTGAAAAGTAAGGCTTATGGTGATAATCCATTAAATGTTAATGAAGATGTTTGGAAATCTGTTTTAGAGGGTGATCAACTTGAAGCCGAAGATGATATGACTGAAGAAAGTGATGTTGAGGATTTAGAAGTATTGTATAGAATTATTGTACATATCTTTCTTTAATATGTTTGTGCAAAATCAATTTACATGATTTTGCTGTATTAGAATGAATATGTTGAAGATAATAGTGAAGATGAATTAGAAGACTTGGAAGATATACTTAAGGATGGTGGTTATGATTATGATGATAATGATGACGACGATGATGATGAGGTAGATATAGTTTAAAGTTTAATAATTTAGATGTTTAATTGCGAATTCAATTCTAACATATTATTGTATTATATAATTATATAAGGAAAATGAATCAAGTGATTATAGTGATATACTTGATACCTTGGAAGAAGCTAGTGAAGAAGATAACGAGGAAGTTGAAAAACCCGACGTCAAGGTATGCTAATCAATTGTGCTATTTACTAGTTTTACTCTAGATTTTCGAATCACTAACAACATTATGCACTAATAAATATATTTTTAAAAACAATAGGGCAAAAGAAAAAGTGCTGAAATTAAAGAAACACGATCGAAAAAGAAAAAACGTAAACTTTTATTTCATTTTGATTTTCTACTTCAGTCATTTTTTCTTGTTCAATGGCATATAATCATATTTTTTTTCAACAGGTGGTAGATACGTTGAAGTTGAATACGAGCATGAGCAATCATTATCAAAAGTCCCCAATTGGTGAATTTTACCAATTCATCAATCAATGCAGCTTTTTTTCATTAATATATTAAGCTTTAAATGGTTTTTTTAAAATAATGAATTCTATTTATTCAAACACAATAAAAATAAAAAAAAAATTTTTAGTTATATATAACTATTCGACTATTGATTGTTCTTGTTTAAAATAATGAGCTCTAATTTTATTCCATAATTTCTATGTCATACGTGTCATGCACGAACAAGAAATAAAAAAATATAAAACTTTTATTAGTCATCTATAACCATTGGATCGTATCTACTATTTCCAGCTTGCTGAATTTCTCTATTCATTTTCCAACACCAAATGGTCGCATCATCACAGACCGCAACCATCCAATTTCTGTTTTTCGAAAATGCAATTTGTCTTATTGTACTATCACATGATTCTACACCAAGTACCGATGGTTTACATTCTTTCCTTTCGACTTTTTCTGGATTCAAATTATCGCTAGCGTGATTACCTGAATCAGAGGAAGTAGAACCACCATTGGAATCAGCAGTATGAGTATTCGCACCTGAAGCAGATTTTTTACCATTTCCACCATTTGATCCATTTCCTTTCTTTTTCATTGTAACTTTTTCCTTTTTATTAGTTCCTGTATTTTTGGACTTTTTTTTATCGATATATTTGTCAATAAGTAATGGAATCTCTTGTAAATCCCACAAAAAAATTTGTCCAATTTGATTTCCTGTTGCAAGTTGTTGGTAGTCTGGAGAAATACCAAATCTAAGAAACCAAATGTCACAATGATCAAATTCAAATTCGCAAACTATATCGTAGCTTGATGATTGCTATATTTTTTATGTAAAAAAGATATTAACTTTGAAGATAAAATTTGAAAATAAACGAATTGATATTAATAAAAACAATACATGCTTTGCTTGGCACAGCAGGTCCGCCAACAATAGTAGTTGTCACATTAGAGTTGTCATTCGCTATCAATTCGACACTAGGCTTCCATAATATAATTGTTGCATCAGCCGCACATCTTGAAAATAATAAGTCACCGTACCATCTTACACAATCAACATAATTATTGTGCAATTGAGCCGTTGAGTAAATAGGAAAATGTACGAATACAGGCATTGTCGGCTTTCCATGTGTTCTACAGCATGTTGGTTGCCTAGATGAAGATGGCTGAGGACGTGAATATTGTGTAGGTTTTAAGGAAGACTCGATGGTATTCCTGACCACTGGTGTACATAGTGACCAAATTTTAACAGCATGGTCCATTCCAGAAGAAGCCAAGAAATCTCCAGATAAATGTACGTCCTAATAAAAATTTTATGATCATATTATGAACACATTACGAATACATTACGAATAATTAAATACAATTAATTTTCAAAATAATAATAATAATTACAATGCTCAAGACAGGTTCACGATGACCGCATTCACCACCAAAAACCAAAATAGGCATACAAGTCATTACATTCCATAATCGCACAGAAAAATCTTTACTGGCCGAGAATAATAATGTTGGTTCTCTTGGATGAAATTTAATTTCATTGATTTCCTGTATTAAATGAAATACAAAATATTTATTAGGTTTGAAATAAGCAAATGCAGCAAATCACGGAATAAAATTATTAACATCGAACTTGCATCACCATGTCCTATCAAGGACTGTATTTCAATGTAACGCGTCATAGAATAAAATTATAAAATAAGATTAGAAGTAATATAACGTGAGACGTAAAAGAATTTATCATAGTATTATGAATACGTACCCGTACTACATTGCCAACACTAGAGTCTATAATTTTAATAATGCCCTGAGCACCAGTAACAGCAAGCCAAGGTGCACCAGTATTTGGATCAAAAGACCATGCGCAACAATAAAAATTTTCATCTGTCTATAAAACATGATGGACTTTAAAATATAAATTTAATAAATAGCCAACATAAAATTAAATGTTAACATTTTTACATTCTCATCCACATAAGTTTGTAACACCTCGAGAGATACAGATTTAGAGCTATCAAATTGAGCGATAATTACCTAGAAATTTTGAATAATGATGCGTTTAACACCTTCAAAAAATAAGTCAGTTTGTGAATGGACCTAGTACCTACACTTCGACCACCCACGGCGGCAAAGACGGTTTCATCGCGTGGGTCATACGGGTTAAAGCTCACACCATAATAAGCTACTTTGTTCGATTCCTTTCTTTCACAGTATAAAATTCCCCATGTAAAAATTTTGTATAATAAATACGCGTGTTAATGAAATTTTTAACGAACGATTAACTTTGGTAAAAAGGAAGATTGGATCATGCATACTCCAAAATAATGTTTCAGCCAGTATTTATCACCTGCAGACATTTTTTTTTCTTGGGAAATGAACTACCGTAAAGCAATTCTTGAATTTCAAAGCTTTGGTGTTTGGAATTATCGCGTTTATATATACAGTTACACGTTCACGTGACAACGTCTTGACCTATTACAGAATGATTATACATTACCGTTGCAAGAGACTGCATTATAAAATTACACAAAATGCACCCTATCTGAAACTATCAAAACAAATTCAGCGTCTGAATTTTTTTTTATCAAAATAACCCCCCAAGTCGTTATTTCGAGATATTCCTGTATTGAATCCGGTTTTAACGTTCTTCCTATCGTCTCTATCGTCATGATATGACTCATAGGACGACTTTCATATGATTGGTTGTTTAAGTCAATTTATTTTACAGTTTAAAGTACTTTTCATAGAAAATGAATAAAATCCCTTTTTGTAATATTCAAAAAAAAATAAAATGAAATCCCTTTTTGTTTTAGAGAAGTTAGAAGTTATTATAATACTAACTTCGCTATTTTCAATAGTAAAGTTCTACAACACATAATGTACTTTTTTTTTATTTTTTTGAAACTGTATAAATACAGTAATGTAAAATTAAATTAATTTAAACAACCAATCATATCTAAACTTTTGATAATAGATCGATAGAATATTCAAAGTTTAACTACAGTTAAAAAAATATTTTTCTTAATTATACAGTACAGTATAAGTAGCATATTATCATACGCTTCATATACAATTGTATACTTATTGGTTAGATAAATCAATATACCTAACATATATAGGCTATTATCAATAGAAATAATTTAATACAGTTGATTCTCATTGATATCAACCTGCGGGTAATATCAATTTAAGCCACAAAACAAATTTTTATAAATTTTTATATATCAAAACTCCCTTATATATATCAACTTTAATATAAACTCTCATTAATATCACTATCAACATGAATATAAAGGTGATCCAAATAGATTAATACTAATAAGAGTCAACTGTATCTTAACTTTTTATCAATAAATTTTGAAGCTAATTTGTTGAGTTTTTTTAATTATTAAACTATTCAAATTTATTGAAATATAAGCTATAAAGTTAGGATATAAATTTTTTTTTAAATATTAATTTGCTTGATTTCTATTAATAGCAGTTTATATGTTAGTTTATTAGTATTTTTTTTTTATATATATCTTTACAATGTTATATAAAGGTAAATTTTTATTAGGTTATAGTAATACATTCTTGGTTAATAAGAGTATATTTAGCCATATATGCAACTTTTGGTTGCCTATTTAAATAGTCTGCCTAAAGGTTTTATACTATATACTATATCTATAATTTAACTAGAAGATTACTTATTTAAACTCTTTGATATTTTCTATCCTGTATTA